ACACCATCCATGGAGGAATAGTTGCTCATCTGCCAAAAAAATGTGGATAACATAAAAATAAAGAAGTGTATATACTTTACGGTAAAGTGCCGTACTTATTAGCACAATTATCCCAACCGTTTATAAAAAGGTGCAGCATTTCATAACAAAACTTTGCAGTTTTCTATATTTTTGTTCAAACTCGCCTATCAGATTTAAGAACCTACGAAAAAAAAGAAAAAGATAAGCACTCACCACAAGAGTTCCTTTGCAGTGGCTGCATTTGAAGCATGATTTGTGATAAGTTGTCCCATCAGCACTCAATAAATCAACAAAATAAACAGTTTTGTCACAAGCCTTGCACTTGTCCAGTGTCCCTGTGAACGAAGCCATTTTTTTTTCTTGCCCTTTTGGCCCTTATCCAATATTCTCTTTTGTTCCTTCAAATGTTTATTTTTATTTTCTTAAATTTTTATCAACAACTTCTCAAGAATCATATGCAACTCAGAAGTCAGAATTAGGGATCAAATGTTGAGAAACAAAATGCTAACAGTTGAATCCTTTCCTAGCCCCTGGTGTGATTCTATCTAAAAAGTCCAGAGATATTGAGAGACTAAACAACACAAGATCATCTGGTTTGTGTTGTTTTATCAGCATTTGGAAAACTTGACTATTTTTTTAATCCTTTTGCTGAGACGACACGTGATTGAAGATCCCATAAATGAAGGATTAATAGTGCTGTGAAAAAATTGGATGGAGGCCTATTTGTCTGGAGAGGAAATAGGAAGATGTTTGTTACCTTCTCCTTTGAGGGAGTATTTTTGGGGGGATACATGCTTTTATTACCCTACATTGGGTAGTTAATTTAGTTACCACCAAAAAGAGAGAGAGAGAGAGAGAGAGAGAGAGAGAGAGAGAGAGAGCTATATGACATTAACAGTCAAGTATATATTTAATATAAAATAAAATTATCAAAATTTCAGGAGAAAAACTGGCCAAAACCGCCGGTTCCTCAATAAAAGAAATAAAAAATAAAATGAACAGGCGAAACCGGACAAATTGCCCATCTTTTTCCAAAAAACTGGTGGTTCCTGCCGATCTTTTTATCTGTTTGACATTAAGAAAACAATTGAAAACCGGCAGTTCGAACCGGAATCAGGCGATTAGTTTGAATTTGTAGTTTGCTCCTCTAGTTGAGCTTGAATTTATACTTTACTAACTCAAGCTCGAATAATTGTTACTCACTTTCTCAATAGGACACAATTCAAAGCCTATTAATAGTCAGGAAGAGCTCTAGATATAAACTGAGGTTGCAAATATAAATGAGACTAAAAGAGATAAAATGAGGTCTAGATAATGTCACAGCATGATTATGCAACAATGGCAGCTGATTAACTGTTGGATGATGTTAGTAAAGCTTCGTCGGTCTTTATGATCTCTTCAGGCACCAAAACCCGAAAAACCGCATAGTGATGGTTCAAGCTTCTTTCTCCTTGCAGCCTGTGAACACTCCCTAGGCCACCATCGTTCGGGTTCGGATATGCATAAAATACTCGCCTTATTCTCTGATGAACAATTGCCATCGAACACCTAAATCCAAAAAGTAAGTAATTTTTGAAAACTAGCTGAAAAATCAGAAATCTAAAATACACCGCATAACTCTAAATTCTTGTAGAGAGAGAGAGAGAGAGAGAAAGAAAGAGACTCACATAATGCAGGGCTCCCACACGAAGTAGATGTCATAGCCGGTACATAAATAAGGTCTTGTTGAGTCACCATGTGAACTACTAACCATTTTCTCATCATCCTCAACCTAAAATCGAAAAACTAGAAACTGTAAATGCTAAAGCAGATCACAAAATTTGCATCTTACGCCTATAAATAAGTCACGATATTATACCTTTTGTCTTTTCAAGGACACCTCACCATTTTCTTGGTCCAACACTAAGCTATGTCCCTCCAAAGGAAAAAGAAGTCTATCTCTTGCAGCAGAATTTTCTATAGCTACAATTGCAGCGTGTCGTAAAGGGTGCCAAGAATCAGAAGTCAAATCAGGTGGTTTTTCGAGCCAACCCAAAGGATGTAAACAAGAGACATTCTTATAAGAATAATGCTTTTCTTCATTCGACGAGGATTGTTCTTCTTGAAAATTTTCAGAACAGTTGGTGATAAAATTGCAAGGCTGGACCAGGTCGCACGAGCTACCTATAATCTTTCCAGTCAAAGGATCGACTATAATAGCGGCATTCACAACCTGGTAAGAGGAGTTGAGTCAAATTGCCTCGAAATAAAAGAAAAAAAAATGCCTCGAAATAACCTTAAAGGTCAATATGAAAAATTGGCTAGTCCACTTCAGATGATTAGTCAAACAGGAATTTTTTTTAACATGGACATGTACAAAATTCCAGCCGCGTACTAATTTCACGGAAGAGAATTAAGAGAGAACATAAATTTGATGTCTTACTTTCCTCTGTTTAGTCACGATTTGCGGTTCTGTAAAATATCTACTTCACCTAACCAATAGACATTATTTATGAAAACAAATGTCAATACGAATTGCCTTAGTTAAATAATTATGAAGTGTTATCTGATTTTGAACAAGAAAATGATGCATAGGCTTCACAGATTTTTTTCTTCTATTACCACCCTGATTAAATTATAATTTATTGAAACTGATGTACTATTCCATCCTTAAACAAAAAACAAAAGAAAGAAACAGCTAAGAGGATCTTCCTAACGGAACTTGGTTATAATTCAACTAGGTCCAACTTAGGAAGGGCTGTGTGCAGCATACTCTGAGCATGAGTGTTTACCAAGGGACCAGATTTTGCCAAACGAATTGCAAGTTTCATGAAGTTGAATACTGATAATGACCCTTCTTCGCTAAATCCAGTTATGCCATCAATATTGCTGTGACAGGAAGAAAAATTAAGTACTTTGAAGTTTAAAATTCTTCAAACACTGTAGATTGATATTTTCATCATCTTACTAGGTGGGTGGATGAAAAGAAGTCGGCCACAACTTGCATTGTTCTGCCCATTCTTCTTTTGTTGATGCAGCATATTTGCACACCTGAATCAAATGGGCTCATTGTGAAACCAAAAACTATGGAAAATATGAATTGCAGGAAAAAAAAAAAGCAATCATACAAGTGATCATTTATCGGTTTATTGCTGTGAAACACAAAACAAGGGCACTATAGAACAAAAACCCAGCATGGTGCCTAGTCTAGAGTCTTCAAATATCAAAATTTCAAATTTAAGGGGAACTGTTCAGTCCCATATAATGTTTTTCTAAGTGGCTAGTTCAATAATGTCTTCTTCGTCACATGAAATTTTGTCATATATCAAATAGATAATAAGTCAGGAGCTGAAAAATAAAAGATGGTGTACCTTTGTGGTAAAAGTACTCAACTGGTATGTTTTCACAAGCTCCATTACACCCTCAGGCAAAAATTCAGACTCACCCTCATTTCCAGAAGCCGTGCATAAGATCACAAATAATTGATTTTTTCCTGCCAGCCAAACCTCACAGTCAAATGGGTGCAAACATCCGTAATTTTCGTTTTGGTTTCACAACTGAAATTCACGATACGTCATAAGCCTCGTGTATTCTTGGCTAGTGCCAAAATCTATTTCAGGCTTAAGGAGCTAAAGCAGGCTCATCTCGCTAGGCTTTTTGGTTGAATCGTATGCAGAACCAGTATTGTTTTAAAACTTTACAATAACAAGCAAATTGAGATATCCAAGCCTAACCATTCCCAACTAACTAAAAGAGAAATCAATCTCTCAAAACACTGAAAAAGTAATGACGGGGATTATGGAGCACATAATTTGGGCAAAGCGGCGAACAACCTCCATCGAGACAAGTCTTCCGTATGCGCTTCACATGGCGGAGGCCTTCCAAGGGTGCTATGTGATTTAGCTTCCTAATACACAAAGTTGATTCACAATACAAAACTATTAAGAAAAAACGTCGAAAATTTATACATAAATAGAGGAACATCTTTCCAATGAATAGCTACTAATAAAGTAACAATAGTCCACAGTGCATCATACCTGACCATGGTGTTGGCGTGCTTAGGATCAATTACAGAAGCAAGAACATCCACTGCACAATTACAACACATAAATAACAAAGACAATTTCTTGAAAGAAAAAAAAAAAAAAAAAAATCTTTGAAGAACCATGGTCTATACCAGTAGCTTGGAGGTGAGGAACAACAGGAGGTTTCTCTGGGATGTGGATGATTTTCCAGTACTCCATTGAATCCTTAGATGTGAAATCAGCAGTACTGTTCATTTTTTGCTTTCTGAGCAGCAAACTGTGAACTTGCGGGCTACTAATTTCCTGAAAGAGGCTTTAGATTCTTGGGAACGAGCTTGTTTTTGTGGGTTTTAAGTGTGATTTGGGAGATAGGTTCCAATGGAAAGTTGCCGCCGGTGTCAGAGAGGTGGTCGGCCGGCGGCTGTTTCACTTCACACAGTTTTATCGAACTAAATTTCTCTGGGTGTCACAGTAGCAGAGCACTTCTATAAATCGTATTCAAACATCTCTTTATTGGGCTTATCCATAGCCCAGAGAGTGTGGGCCAACTATAATAGGCCCAACTGGCACCGTTGATTGTCCAACAATGGATGAAGCAAAATCGTGGTTTTTTTCGGCTTTGGTTGGTTGTTCTCTGTTCAAGTTCTGATATTTTTCTTTCGAAAATCAGTTCAAAAATCCAATCTTTACTGATGGGTTCCAGTTGAAATCTATCGTGCTTTTCCCCTTTTCAGCTGAGTGGTAACGTGAGCATCTCTGTTGAATTTAGATCTGATATTTTTTATTTTTTATTTTCTGTTGAAATCAGTTCAAAAATTCGATCTTTACAAATTTATTGCTTATTTTGATTTTCTTTAAATAAAATCACCTGAAATTCGCATGTTTTATACTATGCACCTCGTGATATTAAGAAAGAATGATTTTTTTTTTTTTTTCAATCACACTCGTTGATTCAATTTTCTCTACATGATTTGTATTTGGTGTAACTTCTCCGTATTCTGTTGCTGTAGTGATAAATTTTCTGCAAGAACGATATTTTCAAGATTCCTGTAGATTGGGAACTGCTGTCGGAAGTGAAGATTTCTGTGATCTAACCTTACTTTTGTCAAAGAAATTAAGAGGATGTCGAGGGAGAGAGCTAAACGAGTTACACTAGCTCCCGGTCCACAGGTACAACTCAATTTGTATTTCTCGTTTTATTTGTATTTATCTCATGAATTTTCTCATCCTTGTGCTTTTGGTTGCTTGGCCATCAAGCTATAATGTGCTTGCCTGATTCATTTTTTGTTTTATGTATTTTCGACTTTATTTTGTGGGTGTCTTCAACACTAACCTTCTGCAGGTTGTTGAGAAGATTAAAAAAGTTGTAGAAGAAGGCAACTACTATGGCGCCCAACAAATGTACAAGTCTTTTAGTGCAAGGTCTGTATGTTAAAGTCCCATATGTTTAATCCACATAAGAAGGCTATTAGAATGGTGGTTGGAAAGTGTTTTAAGGTTGTTTTTAAGCAACCGATGTTAGGGCTTTATGTTTATCTTGTTCCTTTTGATTGTTTTTCAGATATATTTCAGCCGAAAGATATTCAGAAGCTTTGGATATTCTTGAGTCAGGTGCTTGCATACAATTAGAGAACGGGCAGGTAGGATTCCATATTATGAAACTTCCTTATGAAACAATGAAATCACATTTGAAGAGTTTGGTAAAATTAAATGATTTAGGCTATGTTTATTGCTGGTAGTTGATAAGCTAGCTTATAGGTTATAAGTGATTTTCGAGCTTATAGTTTATAGCATATGACTTCTGGCTTAAAAGCTAGCTTATATGATAAGAGTGTTGAGTAAAACTAGCCGATAAGCTAGCTCAAATAAAATTTTTTACAAACTTATTTGAAAAGCTACCCAAAGAAGCTTATGAGATAAGCTTGAGGTTGGTAAACAAAGCTTGTCCTACCAAATGAAGGTTATTTGAATAAAGGAAGCTTATAAGCTAGCTTATTTGGTTACCAAGCATACCCTTAGTTTACTTATACTGGAAGTTTCAAGCTTCAAACTTTGATGATTTTGGGGGAGATTGAATGACAAAGCTATATGTTCATATGTTCAAACTATAAATTAATTATATTATCTTTCAATTTCAGATTACATGTGGGGTAGAGCTTGCTGTCTTGTTTGTCGAAACACTTGTTAAAGGAAAAAATCCTTATGATGACAACACGCTTGGTCAGTCATATTTTTCTTTGGCTAAGCTAAAGCTACTTCTTTATGTTTAACATTGTGCAAAATATACGAGAAAAGTTACCTCAAGAGTTCATTTCAGATCGTATCAGGAAAATATACGAGAAGTTTCCTCGGATACCCACGCCTCAGCATTTAGACATAGGTGATGATGATGATATGCAGCGACTTTCTGAAGCTCTCGGGGCTGCAAAAATACGTGCAGAGGGTTGCTCGTCTTTCTTGAAAGCTGCTATCAAGTAAGAATATCTCCATTTTTGTTGCTCACACTTTTTAAGTGTTTCTAGATATCTGTGCAATGATTAGAAAGGTTGAGGGCAGCGTATATTCACTCCTCCGGTATTTTGGCCTTTTTAAGTACAAAAAGTTTTTGTAGCTACTTTTTCCAATTCAAGTTTTCTATTTTAGTCATCTCTAAGTTAATCTACTGATGTTGCCACTATTATTAGAAATTGTCAAAGTAATTGGACAAGCATTCAAGGAGGCTTTGGATGCCATTTTTCTGCTAAGTTCGCTACTAAGACTTGCTTTTTGAAAAGCATTGCTAGTTTTCTTTTCTTTTTTTTTTTTCTTTTTTTTTTTCTTTTTTTTTTTTTTTTTTTTTGTTTAATACGTGTGGATGATCAATGTTCAGGTTTGTGTGACACTAATGAACCTGTTATGTTCTCTTACAAACAGGTGGTCTGCAGAGCTTGGAGCACATAAGTATGGGTCTCCTGAAATCCACGACATGCTTGCGGATTACATATATTCAGAATCTCCTGAATTGGTAATGTATTGTATCAAATTTTATTGTAAGAGGAAAAAAAATATTGTGTTCTTGTAGTTTAGCAATTTGGAGGAAGCCCGCACGCTATATAAGAGAGGTTCCATCCTAAAACCAATATGTGATATGAGAGAATAGAGTGATTTCTTTTACCCTAATTAAACCATACGGGACAACTCACAAGTGACATATTTTAGATTCTTAATAAAAACTCCATTATATGATGTCATTTTCCATTAAGGTAAGAGAGCTCACATTGCATGTCAAACACCATTAGGTCCGATGTTAACACAAGATATGGATCTTAGGAATTCTTCAAGTGGGTATATGTCAAATTCCTTTTTTTAGAGAGTGATGGTATTATTAGATTTGATTCAGTTTTTACATGGATGATCTCGGATTTGAATATATTGGAGTCGTTACTCCTTAAGTCCTTATTTCTGGTATTAAAACTGTGAATATTTCTTGTATTATCTAAGGGCTGTTAGCCAAAACCCTTTCTAACGACAAGCCAAAATACTAAAATCGATATAAAAAATGCCATAAAGGATTACTTTGTTCGAGTGACAACAACTATTCATTCATTTGATAACTATATGTCAAAATTATTAGCTTTTCCGTTTCTTTTTTTTTTTTTTTTTTTTTT